CATATGAGTGAAATACAATTTGAGTTCAATATTTCAGAGATTCTCTTGGGCTATCTTCTTTGCTTATAGTGAGATGCTTGCTGCGAGGGCAAGATTAAAGAGCTGTTCCTTTTCCTTTTCGGTTACCTTAAATTTTTCCAGATAAAGCACCTACCATTTTTGGCATCAGAGCCATGGTTGAGACTCGCTCTTCCCAAAACCAACCAAACGATGACCCTTTTGCTACTGACCACCTTGCTGCCATAGCAACCAAGCTTGAAACCTTGGACATTATAGCGGAGAGGGGGGCGACTTTAGAAGCTGCTACTACTGTGAGGAATGTTCACAAGAGAGGAAGGCCCTTAGGCCACGTCACTTTGCTGATGATAGTGACAATGATTCTGAGACAAATCGAAGGGGTCCCAGACTGCCACACACCAAGATGGAATTTCCCAAGTTCAGTGGAGGTGACCCAAGGGAGTGGATACTCAAGGTGGAGAAATATTTCCGCTATTATGAGACCCCAGATGATTTGAAGGTTGATGTTGCATCAATGTACCTGGAGGGTGATGCTCTTGACTTGTTTTCTTGGATGAATTCGCAAAGGACCTTGTTGTATTGGGAGGAGCTCGTTCAAGCTCTTTAAGAAAATTATGGACAGTCAGAATTTCAGAACCCCGATTAATATCTCTGTGCAATCAAGCAGACGGGGTCTATGCATGATTACCGCCATGAATTCGCTCGCCATGCATCGCATGTGAAGAAATGGCCAGAGCACTGTCTTCTTGGCGTGTTCTTGAACAGCCTCAAAGAGGAGCTGCAATCAAATGTGAGGATTCAAAAGCCGCGTTCTGTCTATAAGGCAACAATTCCAGCTGTGGAGATTGAGAAGAAGTTAGGGCTGTCTCGTGGGCCCAGGCCTATTGCCTCTTTAACCCAAAATCGCACAGCCCAGTATGGTTACTCCTAAAATTCTCCACGTGACCAATATGCTGCGTCGTCTTCATCAGTTCGTGCAGCTTCAGCGAGTGATCTTTCTCCTCAGCCAAACATGGTTGTTTTAGCTAGACCGACTCTTTTGGAGGTTGAACAGCAATGACGAAGAGATAAGGGCTTGTGTTTCTGGTGTGGTGCACCATTTTGACCTGGACACCGCTACTCTAGGTCTTTTTCTCTGATGGAGATTGATGATGAAGGTCACCCAATACCTGAGACCTTGGAACCAATGGAAGAAGCCAAAGAAGATGAAATGTGCACTGCTGCGATTTCTTTTCATGCAATCTTGGGATGACCCACCTCGGCAACTATGAAGCTAAGTGGAACAGTTTTAGGCCTAGACATCCTGCTCCTGGTAGATAGTGGATCAACCCACAATTTTATCTCTGCTTCATTGGTAAATGAATTGAATCTGCCCACTAGCTCTATTTCTACTCTTGGTGTTCAAATTGGAGATGGGAGTATAGTTCACTGTAATCACATATGCCAGGACTTGGAAGTTGTTCTGTCAGGTTTGAGTATTAAACAGGATTTTTATCCTTTTTCCTTGGTGGGTTCCGACATGGTCCTGGGAATTAAATGGCTAGCTTCTTTGAATACCATTCAAGCCAATTGGAATGACATGTTTTTAGTGTTCTGGGTTAAGGGGAAGAAAAAGCTACAGGGGGTGCCACAGGCTAATAACTCAAGTGTAGGATGACACTCTATGATTTCTACTGAGCTCCAATTAGGGTCTAACAACACTGGCACTTTGGATTTGGATCACTTGTACGTTGAGTTCGATGCTGTATTCCAGGAACCTACTACCCCGCCACCGTTCCAAGAACATGTCCATTCTATTCCTTATTTCCAGAAACTTGCGTCCACATCGATATCCTCATTTCTAGAAGAATGAGATTGAGCAACAGGTAGATGAGCTTCTCAAGAAGAGGTTTATTTAGCCTAGCTCAAGTCCATACACAAGCCCAGTCTTATTGGTTAAGAAGAAAAATGATTCCTGGCACATGTGTGTTGATTATAGAGCTCTCAACAAGATCACGGTACCAGATAAGTATCCCATTCCTAATGTTGATGAACTTCTTAATGAGTTGCATAGTGCGACCTATTTTTCCAAGATTGGTGTACGTTCCAGATATCATCAAATTAGAGTGTTGGCTGTAGACATTCCTAAAATAGCCTTCACGAATGATCTCTTTAGACTTTATTTGCAAAAGTTTGTACTGGTTTTCTTCGATGATATTCTGGCATACAGTTCAGACCCTCAACAACATGACAATCACCTGAGGGTGGTGTTTCAGACTTTGCTACGACATTCTTATTTCTCTAATTTTAAGAAATGTGTCTTGGGACAGTAGCATGTCATCCTCCTGGGACACCGAATTTCAGCACAAGGTATGGAAACTGATTATGAGAAGATCAGTAGCATGAGGGAATGGCCGATACCTACCAATGTAATAGAAGTCCAGGGGTTTTTGGGGCTCACTGGGTATTACCAAAGGTTTGTGAAGAACTATGGTATTATTGCTCGACCCCTTACTAGTCTTACTAAGAAAAATGCTTTTTGTTGGTCTACCATTGCTCAAAAAGCTTTTGAGAGATTGAAACTTGCTCTGATATCTATCCCTGTTCTAAAACTCCCTGACTTTAATTCTGAATTCATTGTTGAATGTGATAACTCAATGGAGGGTATTGGAGCTATTCTTTTGCAGCAGGATCATCCTATTGCTTTTTATAGCAAAGGATTCTCTTTTTCCAATAGATATCAATCTGCTTATGATAGTGAGTTGTTAGCGTTGGTATTAGCCTTGCAAAAATGGTGCCATTACTTATTGGGTCGTCATTTCACAGTTAAGACAAACCATAGCAGCCTTATAAACCTCCTAGATCAGCGGGCTCTCACAAATAATCAACAGTGCCTCATTCTCAAGCTCCTTCCATTTGACTTTACAATTGTTTACAAAGCTAGCAAGGAGAACATTGGAGCTGATGCACTTTCTAGGAGGCCTCAACATGCTGATTTCTTAAATATGGTGGTGCCTTTAGCTATGGATTTCTTGGAATTAGAGGAGGCATTGTCGCAGGACCCACATACAGCCTCTATTATCACTGCACTACAAGAGAATCCTACTGCGAAACCAGATTACACCTGGGTGGAGCAAAGACTGTATTTCCAAGGACGTTTAGTCATTCCCAAAAGCTTGCCATTACATGCCAAGTTGCTTGAAGAGGCACATCTCACAACTCCCGGGGGTCATGGTGGGTTTTTGAAAACATTAGAACAACTTTCAGGTACAGTTTATTGGCCTCAAATGAAACTTGATGTGAAAACTTTCATTCAGCAATGTCATACTTGCCAAAGAAACAAATATGAGACCTTGTCATCTGCTAGGTTATTACAGCCAATACCAGCCCCTCAAAGGATTTGGGAGGACATTTCTGTTGATTTTATTATGGGTTTGCCTAAATCTGAAAATTTTGACACTATGCTGGTAGTTGTGGATAGACTTAGCAAGTACTATCATTTCATCCCTTTATATCATCCATACACTACAAAATCAATGGTTGTCTGTTTCTGTGAAGAAATTGTCCGCTTGCATGGCATGCCCAGGTCAATTGACCCTCTCTTTCTAAGCACTTTTTGGCAGGAACTATTTAAATTGAGCCAAACTCGCCTAAGGATGAGCACCTCTTATCATCCTCAAACAGACTGCCAAACAAAAGTGGTTAATAGATGTTTGGAAACATATTTACAGTGCTTTGCTCATGATCAACCACGTGCCTAGAGCAAATTTTTATGCTGAGCTAAAAACTCCTTCAACACCAGTTTCCACACTTCTACTAATACCACTCCCTTCAAAGTAGTATATGGTAGGAATCCTCCTCCACTTCATCCATTCATAAAAGGAGAAACTCAGACTGACGAACTCCCAACTCAGTTAGAAATCAGGGACAGCATGCTTCGTCTGCTCCACGAAAACCTAAAGAAGGCACAAGACTGAACGAAGTCTCATGCTAACCAACACTGTCATGAACTTAATTTTGAAGTAGGGGATGCAGTTTTTCTGCACATCCAGCCATTCTGACAGCAGTTTCTAGCACACAGGAAGTATACAAAGCTTTCCCCTCGTTTCTTTGGTCCATACAAGATTATAAGAAAGGTGGGACCCGTTGCATATGAGTTGGAACTTCCTGTTACTGCTAAGGTTCACCCTGTTTTCCATGTGTCACTGCTGCGTCCTGCTCATGGGCAACCACCCTCACATCCCCCCGCTGAATTACCTATCTCTGCTGACTTTGAGCTTCTGTTGGAGCCTGAAACAGTGCTGTCTCACTGCTGGAAAGGACCTCATTTGGAGCTGTTGATTGGCTGGAAAGCTGGACTGAAGGAGGAGGCAAGTTGGGAAGATTATGATCTGCTACAGCAGCAATACCCTTCTTTTCACCTTGAGGACAAGTCGAGTTTTCGGGGGGGACTGGGGGAGTAATGATAAGAGCCCCAGTAAGCCAACCTTGGTTTATCAGAGGCGAAATAAGAGGAGTTCAGTTAAAGTCTGACTTGGTCTTGTTTTATTTAACTATTTAAATTCATTTTAGTTGTGTTTATTGAGTCAGTTAGCAAAATAAGAGGACTACTGGGTCTGTCACGTTTCCCATTTCATTGTGATCCCAAAAATGTAGGGATATTCAGTTGTTTCATGTTTGTTGCAGTGTCAGCTTCCTTACTAGCTAACATATGAGTGAAATACAATTTGAGTTCAATATTTCAGAGATTTTCTTGGGCTATCTTCTTTGCTTATAGTGAGATACTTGCTGTGAGGGAGAGATTAGAGAGCTGTTCCTTTTCCTTTTCGGTTACCTTAAATTTTTCCAGATAGAGTACCTACCACAGAAGCATAAAACCCTCCAATTGTTTTTTTCCCCTTCTTTTTTTTTTTTGGGGGGTTGGGGGGGGGGAGATATACATGCACACATACAGATGCAAGACATCAGGCAAAACAAAATTGAGATTGTCAAAATAGACTTACCTTTCATGTTCAATCATTCGTAGAAGGCCAGTAACAGTTTTGTGCAATACTTCTGGGGATAGTGAGAGATGTTTGCAGAAAAGTTGCAAGCCCATGTCCCATAATGATCGTACATTTTCTGTTTGTTTAACATATGTCCTGTCCAGATATAAGGCTATGCCACGTATCATTAACATTTGATCGCAAAGGTCCTGCCAACGTCTCTCAACAAGAGAAAGAAAAACACCCAAATCTGGGCTTTGGCCCACCAAAGACTGTAGTGCAGCAGAGATGTGGGCTTCACACTCATTTTCAATTCGTCGATAAAGATTTCCCCCCATTTTATGCAGGCAAAGATCATTCACAGCCTATGAGCAAATGTTGAGTTAACAATGAAATTTTAATGATGTGATGCTAGATGATTTTTCACACAAAATATTAAAATCTAATGAAAAATAAACAGAATAAGAGAAGCATTTACAAGATTACCTGATAAAGGTTCTCTAAGTCACAAGAATCAGGTTGCTTCAAGAATATAGCACAGATAGCAGTCTTCAATTTTGCCCATGTAACTTCCTCAAAATCCGGGGGCAATGTTGGTTTAGCTTTACAAGAAAACACAAAGTATAAAAATATATTGTAGTCACCTTAATGATAAAACCAATACTTAATATTTGTTTATAATAATACTCTTCCATCGCATTAGGCGCCATGTTTTATTGCCATGTACAACAAAAACAAAAGTACAAGATGCCAGAAGAACTTAAGGTAAAGACACAAAATCTAAACAAAAGTGATTGAATTTGTATTTTAAAAATAGATTCAGTCACATTTGACCTCATGTTTAACACGTTCTCCAATCAACATTCCAACTTGTCAATATTGAAGTGAGACATGTCCGTTCAAGGGAGATACATGAGAAGAAGGGGAGTGAAGAAGATTAATAGGGTGGCAAAGACGAGATTTATTATATTTCAGTAGCATCCATCAAAAACCATTTCATTGGAAAATACAAAATATATACCATGTTAAACTAAAATGCAATTTTTCATATAAAATGCCTGGAAGAATGAAATATTTTGTTCTCTACCAAAAAAGGTTACACCATAGCATACATGTGAAAGACAAAAAAGAATTCTTTTCTTATTCATAGACAGAGATGGCTGCTTTTGACCTTGGTTGTCTAAGAAGAGTTTTGGCATTAAAAAACAAATCTTTCTGCTTAAAACCTACAGAGTTTGCACCAAACGCTTCATACTAACAGATCAAAAACAGAATCCAGTACGAAAGAGCTTCAAGTCAATAAGAATTAAGATAGCATGCATATCCCATAAGTTTAAAACATAGCACACAATCTGACTACAACTAATCCCCATAACCAGGAACTAGAGTGACTATTAAGACAAATGTATTGATTGCATTAACCATGTACATTATTCAAGCCCTATCATATTAGAGAAACAGCTGAAACCTGATTAAGGAAACTCCCCACAACTACAATGACACAAAAGCCAACAGCTCAACACAATAACAATTAGACTACCAAAAACCCATTATTATTCAATCCATTTCTAAACCCACAATATCATTACTAAGTAAATAATTAGATAAAATTAACTAACACCAAATATGGAAATTGGAATAAAAAATGCTGGCAGTTGCATAAGAGGAATGAAGAAATGGAAACCTTACCTTTGTGCAGCTTGATAGCTAACTTCTTAGTACGGGGGGGCTGAGGAGGGGTGGCTTTTTTGCGGGACAAATTGGCGGCCATGACACCACGCGCGTTCGGCAGTGCAGTGGGGTCATCGGTCTTGAGATCGTCATCGAGGGCCATGGATTTGGGGTCGAAAACGACGTCGTCAGATGGGTTAAGATTGCAGTCTTGATGAGGGTGATGTTGAAGGCCGTTCTTGGCCTTCTTCATAGGAGGTGAGCGGGCGGCGGAGGCAGAGGCAGAGCTGCTCGTGGCAGTGGCGGTGGAGGCGGCGTTGTTGTCTATGGCGGAGCGTTTGGTGGGGAGAGACATGAAAGTGATCAGAAGAGCATTGTAAGTGAACAAGAGAAGGCGAAAACGAAGAAGATGAAGATTGGAGAAGCGTACAGATCAGTGAGATTCATCGCGACAGCACTTCTTATTTTCTGTTCTTTTCCATTTTTGCTTCTTGTTTTTTTAATTCCATTAAAAAATGGTTTTCTGTCACTTAATAAAATAATTTTCTTCGTTAAAAATCAACAAGAAGATCGTAACAATGTTTAGCCATCAAAACATCAAAGAGTTTACAGCATTTTATTGATTGATGATTATACTACTATGTTTTGTGAGGCTTTTTCACTAAAAAAAAAAAAAGAAACGTTTTTATTATTAGCTTCCATTTATATTTAATTATTAATTCATGATATTCATTGACAACACTACAAGTATCAGAATTCAGAATGAGCAGCATGTTATTCTCTGACCTCACATGGTTGATAATTGGTATTTTTCCGGTACACTACAAGATAGGTCTTATATTTAAAATCAGAAAGTAATATCAAATATCATATACTTTTTATTTAAAAATAATCAAAAAATAAATAGTTCGTACGATTTAAATATGAATGCAGGTAAGACAATACATCCAGAGCAACAAAAGATTGTTCTTCTTTTCCCCAAAAAAAGATTGTTCACGCTCAGCTACGATGCATTGAATTTGATTTTTTTTTTTTGGTAGAATTTGATTATTGATAGTTGATATTTTACTTTAAAGAGAGAGAGAGAGAGAGAGAGGATAGTTGAAGATTTTTGGGCTAAAGGTTAATGGGCCTACTCCAGAGCCCACAGTATTCAAAAGTGTTCAAATGGATCAAAATGCTTACCAATTGGCATAAGAATTGGGCTTGTGTTCTCATATCGTTTCTGCTCTTCTAATGGGAAATGTAACGATGATTGTAGCTCGGGCATTTCAACAACATGAAATGATTTAATTAACAGATTAGTATTTTTATCTAGTATGCTCTAACTCAATTTATATGTCTTAAATAATTAATTAAATAAATACTTCTAAGTAATTAATTTTATCGAGAATAAATTTAATATTTACAAGAAATAACTTATTTTAATTTACATTAAAATTGTTAATGGTGCTTGTAAATCACGAACTCCCCTCTCTCTAACATCTAAGTGTTTCTCACTGTTTTCCTCTCACTAAAATGCTCAGGTCCTTGTATTTACTTTATGTTTTGTTTTTTTTTTATTTGCCAAAAACTTGGTATTTTGTTTAGTATGTGAAAGTTAAGCAAATTTAGAGCCGGTTAGTTTAATTTTTTTTTTTCACGAAGAAAAACAGTTGATTTAAAATGAGTTAAATATGAGAGATTTCTTTATTTTTAATTCTTTGTTCAAGCTATTTAAAGTAATTACTTTCAAAAGTACTTCAATTTTCAACTTATTTTGATAAGTTAATTGGATTAACTTTTATAATAATCACTTTTCTTAAAACGTGTTTTTTTTTCATTTCATTTACTAGTGTTTAAAAATTTCATGAGTTGACTCAAACAACAATCACTCTTTTAAATAATTTGAAAATCATTTTTTAAATTTGAATAAACACGACCTTAATATAAGTGAAAATGAATTAAAATGATTCTAGAATGTGATAGAGAGGGTTAGTGGTCACCACAAAAGTTCCCTATAAATATGGGACATTCCGTCATATTTGTAAGCTAAGTGTGAAAAAAAATACTCGTATAAGAATTAGAAGTCGGAATGGCACGCGCGATGTAAAAGAGTAAGGAGAGCTGAAAAGTCAAAGTGATACTCTTCCCATTCTTAATATAATATAGGGAAAATTAATATGACAGTCCTTAGTCCTTATAGTTTTATTAGATTTTGAATCAGGTCCCTGTATTTTTATTTTTTTTATTGGATCCTTATAGTTTATTTAATTAAAGAAATAGATCCTTCCGTTAATAATTTCCCCACACGCCGTTAAGTATGATGACAACGGATGATGTGGCATGTGAGATGCTAGCGATTCACAGAAAATGCATGCTTTCTCTCTCCCCCCATCTCGTAGCTCTCTCTCTCATCTTTCACAGCTGCTTCTTCAACTAGTTCTACTTCCCATATCACTTCTTCAACTAGTTCTACTTCCCATATCACTTGTCCTCTTCGATCTCCATCACAACGCTTGCTCCTCCTACCTCTTAAAAATAGAGCCCCAAAAGACACGAGAGAGCCACATGGGGCGGGGGAGAAAGACAAAGCAAATGTTTTCTGTCCTTGTGCACCCTCTTCAACGCTATGTCATCTTCTGTCATTAATGTTTAACGATGAGAAGGAAAAGTATCAACGGAAGGATTGATTTATTTAATTAAATAAACTATGAGGATCTAATAAAAAGAAATAAAAATATAGGAACCTGATTCAAAATCTAATAAAATTATAAGGACTATCAGATTAATTTTCCCTATAATATATATTTAATTAATTTGATTATATTTAAAAAGTTAGGTAGGCTAGTTAATTATAAAAAATATGACATGTTTTTCTTACAACATCATAATCAACTTCCTTAATATCCTCTCTCCCTCTCTCCCTCTTCTACTTGATTATAGTTGAGGGAGTATCCATAAAGATGATTTAAGAAAAATCAATAAATATAAAAAATAAGTGTTATATTTATAACCAAAATCAACTTAATAATTAATTCTTATATTAAGGAACGAATGAGTATTTTATAAACTATTGCTTTAAGGAGTAATAATTTTTTTCTTTCCTTAAAATCCTCCTTCTTAATTCCTTTGAGTTTCATGATTTTTTTGACAGAGTTTTGTGACTGTTCGCACCATTTAAATTTCAGCAAACACAATATTCTCTGTAGTCTTTGGTTTTTTCTCTTTGAAATTAGCAATATTTATATCAAGCCAGGCCAAGAAAGTTCTTTTATACCTTCTAGACGTATTTTGACTATCACCTTAACCTATGTTCCATCCAAACATTGTTATCGTGGCTTTTATTCCAAAATAACATTTTAGGGTAAAATATGATTTAAATGCAGAAGTATCTTGGAACCATTACGTCACCAAAAAAGAAGGCGGCAAATTACAAGAGAGAAAGCAAAAAAGAGATAGCACCAAAAAGGAACAAGAATTGAAGAACAATTTATTATACCAATACTCTTGCTGTTCCTATATACTACCTCTTGTCCTTAATATAAGAGCTAATTGACTAATTTGAGTAAATAAAAACAACTAGTTAAGCTGGTTATTTGTAATAAATATGTATTGTCTTTCATTAAATATCCTTATTAATTAAGTGGATTGACTAGAACTACTATTATTACAGAGACTGCCTTAAAAAAATGGATAAATACAGGAAACAAAGGAGATTAGAGTGTTATATTTATGACTAAAATAAAAGTCAAACGAGTTCTTATATTAAAAACCAGAGGTAGTGTGAGATATTTTTTTTGTTAGGAATTGGCATATTTCTATTTACAAGAGATACTAGTAACCTATCTAAAATCTCTAATAGAATAATCTATTTGAAATCTAGAATTTTTAGTATAATTTTCTACTGGAAATTTTTTATAAAAAAAAACACCTCTTGAATTTCAAAATCCCAAATCAAGAATTGTTACAAAAATGTGTCATTATTTACTTTTCAAATATAGTTAATTACTATTAAATATAGAGAATAAGACTGATTTGAAATTTTAAAATTAAAAAAAATAGATTTTTTCTTTTTTTTTTATTTTTGCTTTCATTTATTATTTGTACACCTTGGTGTACTAATTATCCCCACTAACAACCTACCAAAGTTTTCAAACCATGCTGTTCTAGTGAGAGGCTCCCCACCTGATAAGTACCCAATGCTCATCACCTTATGAGCAATTAATCTGGACGGTCCATATTTAATGTTATTAAATAATTATTTTAAACTAGAAAAAATTATATTTTTAAAAAATAATAGTTAAGAGATTATTTTTATTTTTTATCCTATACCTATTAAAATAATTATTTTTAAAAAATAAAAATAAGCATTGGGTGCTCATCAAAATTGATGAGCACCCAATGTAAATCCGAGAGGCTAGTGAAAAAATAAATGCCGCGAGTTTCTTTGAACATGGTAGCTGAACGGGCATAGAGATAATACACTAAGACGATAAACTTTGAAATTTTCTCCAATTAACAAGGAAGCTTTAAAGAATTTCCAGATAAATAATAAATGTCATTTATGTGGAAGACGGATTTTTCATAAAATATTAAAATCATCCTCGACAGTATATAAGTTTCTTTATGATTTCTACTGCGCTCCAGGCAGAAAAAGAAGTGTTAATGATTAGTTTGAAAACATACAAAATGATCATATAATCTTTTGTCACTAAAATGAGCAAAGTGACTAGCTTTGATCCAATATATATAAATATTTTTTTCAGGATATCATCCTTATTGAGTATATATATTAGATGGTTCCCAGTTAAGAGGCAGTTCTAATATATGATTGAAGAGGGTATTTTAGAAAAATCAAAACATATTTGCTACAAGCTACTAACTAAATTTACTTTCTTAACATTGACAATTTAGTTATCTAGTTGTTATACTATATCCAATTTTTAATATAAGAACTAGTTTAACTTTTAATTTGGTTCTAAATATAATATCTCAATTTACTTCATCTTTCACATTAACCATGTCTTCTCAAGATAATCCTTCTTGTAGTTGCACATATTAAATGTTTTATCAACTAATAATTATATCTCATACACATGATTAACTAAGATATTTTAAAAAAGATAACACATACTCCTCTGGTCCTATTTATAAGACAAAGAGAGAAAATGTTTTTTTGTCCTATTTATAGGGGACTAAGAAAATTTTTTTGTATGGATTTAATAATTTTTTCCTTATTTATTATTGTGTTGACTTTATTTACATGATGTATAATATATATTAAATAGAGATAAAGTTGAAAAGTTGTTGAATTTTAAACAAGAACTAATAAAATTTAAGATTTTTCTTAACCCATATGAAAATATTGAAAATAACTATAAATAGAATCAGAAAAGTATTTATTACAAATAACTAACTTAAATAAGTTTTTTTAATTTATATTAATTAGTCAATTAA